TTGTGATAACGTTTTTCTGCTACTCTTCTGCAGCATTGCTTTGTGATATCGTTACACTGTGAACCATTCGTTTGCCGCTCCCCCCTGCCGCGAGAAGGCTAGGGAATAAATTTTAATAATAAATTAAAGTTTCTTCGGAAACAGGAATGATTATTTCAGTATTTGTTGCAGTGCGCGTTTACGTGCATAAATATTTTGTACGCGCGTTTGAATATTATTTCTGTATATCGAAATGTTTCGCAAGTAAATCTGTAATCGCACAATCTGTATTCCAGTCTGTACTCGATGTTAATTATGTCACAATGGAATCTTCATTTGTAATCGTTATTTGTAAATTCAGATTATTTATTATAGTATGTAATACTCTAGTATAGTATTATATACTCTGATATATAAATATAAATATATTATAGTATAATGAATAGTATAGAATAATATGTCAGATTCGAATTATTTACACAGTATATCTTATTTAAATTATTAGTATATAAACTCTATCAAAAAGTTGTGTTCCTGTTTCAACTTCAGTTAAGGACCAATATCTAATGAATTTAGATGTGACAGATGTCTCCAGAGGTAACAAATTTGGAGCTTGTATCTAAATGTTCGGTGCGTGGTGCTGCGGTTTATCGATTATCGCGCCATCGAGGAAGATTCGTGCTATTGGGGAATTGCTGTCGTAAAATTTTTATATTCAAGAATGAAACATGCGAGAAGCGTTTAACATCGGATAAGATATTGTTAGATCTTGAAATAACAGATATAAAACCCGAGTTTACTACGGCAGTATCTGCCTCCTGCCATGACGTTCGTAAAAGCTTAGGTGAAAATTTCGAGCGTAAATCCAAAATTGGTGATACAAAGTTCCATTTATCACGGCAGAAAATCCTTCCTTCCCGCGGTATGCTTTTGCATTGGAAAGAGAAATTGCGATGCTCGACTTTTAGATCTGTTGTCAGATTAACTTACACAGATTCTTGCAGTGTGTAAAATTATTACGGGAGAGTTTCCAAGTAATTCGTTTTCCACGTAAACGGTAATTAATTCAAGTGCTTCTTGCTTGAATTTAGTAGTATTCGACGATTAATCTGCACTATTTAAAACCTATGTCATTTTCTCGCATTCTGTATTATATATACATTTTTTAGACACTCGTGAAAAATATTTTCTCACCTTTGCAACAACGCAGAGTGAAAAAGTTCTCAGCTTTCGTTCGTTACGCAAACATACAATCAGTTTGTTTATACGTTCGTATTTTAATCGAATGAAACACGGTACGTGTATTTAATTTCAGAAAATTAAGACTGTGGTTCGATAAGTTTCAATCCGACGAGATAGAAAACACGAAAACAGCCCGTGTATTAAGAAACTGACAACGTAATAACGACTGTTCGCCGATTAAGTAACGTCATCAAAACTGTTAATTCGGCACGCGAATTGTAACGAGCAAATTGAATTTCTCATCGAGCTTGCGGCTGGTTTTAAATAATACGCCTTTGTTTGAGAATTCCGATCGTCCAGTAACAACTACCATTTCGGGGTAGAATCGTTAATACTAATTTACGTATTAATAGTCGATGAATACGTGCGTATTCGTGCAGGAATTATCGCCGAGTAAAAAATCGTTCTAATTAGATTACCACGTGTAATAATGATTCACATCGTTTATCCTACTGTCAGTTTGTCGAATAGTTATTGTTCGGAGCGTTATTGTTTGAATAATATTGAAATTTGCAAAGTCAGATTAGCGATCGATGTACCATTAATGTATATACACACCAGGTTTAGTTGTTAATTGGAAACAATACTGTGCAACGTAACAACCTATATGTGTTTATTATCATTGATTACACTGTAATGTAACTTTAAAAGTGAAATTTTCTAGAAATCACATCTTTTCAGTTAGATTAATCAGATTATTCCTTTTATATTTGAACCTTCTGTATCTAAACGTTCTTTCTACGAATTATTTCCAAGTAAATGTGAATTATTCCCATTCGACTCTATACTTGGAATTGTTTTCATACATAATTCATAGAAGTAGAAAATTAATGATTTGCCGGGGAAAAATTTGAAAGGAAAATCGTTGAAAATCCAATATTTATGCCTGACAGGCATGATATATGGTATTGCGTAACCTGAAACGTTCAGCAGTGCCATGGAAGATCTCTTGAATTGATGTGTACACTCGGAAAGTCGGATTTCAAATGTTCTTCAATCAGATAGACCGCAAAACAGGGTCCATTTCCCACTCTTTGATACCTCGCCTCTGTCACGTCAAATTTCAAGTTTAAACGATTCTTGATAATTATTCTATCTATTCATCGTTTCTCGTTCGTCCTTCTATTGTCGAGTATTGAACTGCTCTATTATTCAGCCGAGCCGAAAATGACATGACGCGTTGCGGAATAAATTTATAGTGCAGGATAAAGTCTATTCATAGGACAGATAAAAATTTCCGATCCGTACGAATCGCCGTATGTAATCGTTGAAAAAAAAAGAAAAGAAAAGAAAAAAAATTGTCAATCTAAATAATCCAATACTCGAATAAAAACTTGCATACAGAGAGAAGAAATCGATTTAACGTTTATAGATTCACCGATTATAAAGCGTTCATCGACGCTTCTTTCATCCGGATAGACCGCGAAAAGAAGGCAATGAACCATGCGTCCGCTGGAATCCCGTGTGAACGATAAAGAGACGCGCGAATAAATTTGCCTCGGTCGATGGTATCCGGTGCGGAAATTTAATTCGAATTATAACCGGTCCAGGTGAATCGAGTTATCGTTAATCACGGGTAGCGAGGGTTCCTAACGTCCCGATGGCGGTACGTGATAACGCGCGTCGCCGCCACCGCCGTTGATACCCATTTGCATTCACTTTGCACACACACACATACACATACGTATGGTCTGGTTGCTCTGTTTCAGGACGGGAACTCGAACAAGAGCCAGGTAACGCTGCGCGACGTCGACTTCGCCCTCTCGGGTACGTTCAGCTGCGAAGTTACAGCGGACGCGCCGACTTTCTCCACGGCCTACGTCTCCAAGAATCTCACGGTAGTGTGTAAGTACACGCTTCATGACATTACGGAGTATCGCGGCCAACTCGACGCATTCAACGTGCTCGTGTGCCTACCCACCCAGCGACCACGCTCGCTGCTCGCTACGCTCCTCTCCCTCCCCGATGCACGCGACTCGCGCGTGTGCCGCATCGTAAGTCACCGTGCTCAACCCCTACAGCTAGAGCTTGTTTCACGTACTTCGCTCGGATTTTCTTTTCGGATTCTTTCCTTTCCCTCTCTTTCTTCCTTTTCCTTTTGCTTTTATATCTGTCGAATTTTATTGGACGAAGATCTCTTCCTCAGTTTATACATCGGCACATTCGTTTCCTCTTCTTTCTTTAATAAATCTCAACGCGTAACTTTAATGTCGAAGTAGAAGTGTATAG